GGGTAAAGACACCAGCTACCAGACCATAATGGGTGTTGTTAGCTCTCTTGATAACTTCATCCATGGTTTTAAACTTCATAATTTGTTGGACTGGTCCGAAAATCTAAAAAGTAATTGGAAGAATACAATCAGAACAAGGACTTGGACCCAGTCTAAAGTTGCAATCATTGCAAAGTTTGCCAATGTAATGCTAATGAAAACTAATAATAATAGAAGAATCACGCAGCAGATAATAAAAGACAAAACTCCACCCACACGGAGCTATACAGGTCATAATCCAATCCTACGGTGACCACAACTTTCAATCCAATTCCTTTTAAAATGATCGATTAATTTACATCATTAACTGGTTACATATAAATGAACTGATTGTAAGATTGTATTTGTGTTCATGCATAGTGAAGTGTATTTATTTACCTCTTCTTTGGCAATGCGCATGTCGTCAGTTACATCAGAAAAAACAGTTGGCTGAATGAAAAAGCCTTTCTCTCCCCAGAACGATCCACCACATTCTAAATTGGCTCCCTCCTTCTTCCCACTTTCAATCAGATCCAGGATTTTTTCAAACTGCTTTTTGTCAATCTAAAAACAACAAAATTCAGCCTTGTTTTTTTTACCACTTCCTCTTTCTAAAATTGGCCTTGTGATTTTTATATCCATCCGTCCACTATATTCAGTCAGCTAAAATTATTCTTTGCAAAAAACAAGAAGATCTGGACACTAGAAAAGTATTATGTGTAAATGACAGAAAACTGATATACCATATACATATACTACATACTATAAACTGATATAATATATACAATTATTATTACAATTATTCTGGATTTTTTGTCATATTTAATACTGATAGTTTTATAGTTTTTAATTTTAAAATTATTTAGGGAACAAATGAATGTATACTTCCATTTTATCATGATAAAACCAGTTATATTGTATGAACAACTTTGAAATCGATTGTGTATACAGTATGTGTCTGTATTTAATCTGCCAATGGAAATAACTGCAGATAACTCTACATGTTACCCATGGATGTGTGCAATCACAGTCTGTTATTAGTCCTCCTGTCTTGTTTTTCATAATGTATATGAGATGAAGGGAACTCATAAAATAGAATCTTCACCTACATCCTCTGCAGATAAGAAGAAACCTAAACAAGTTGTGCCACACGAACTAGTTAATATGGGCAATCCGTTTATGCTGTCAACTAAAACTGAAATGGTGGCAGTGAGTTCATGGATGGCCAAGGTAGGTGTGACTTTAAACTCCCAGACGACTTCTGTTCAGCAACTCTGGAGCTGGAACCAGGTGAACAATGGGAATAGAACCCAGAGAGTTTGCAGCAGCTAGAAGACCACTTCCACTGTAATAACATCAAGTCTTCCAAAGAAAACCTAGTAAAGTGTTCTGGTTGGATTCTTGGAAGAAAAATAATCCATTTATGATTTACAGCTTTAGCACAGTGGATCTGGGCATGGACAGAGAACACAGAATTTATGGAAACTGCTGTTCTGGAAGTCACAACAAGCCCTGAGATTATTTTTTCCACTACAGATAATTGCTTCTGAAAGCAGAGAATTTGGCTCTGTTTGGATAGATGATGGCTTTAAACTCCATTGTATTGTCTAGCAACCGCCCAGATGAGATACAATAATTGTTGTTTTGTGAGTAAAAAGGTGGCTGGTATCAAAAGATGGCAAAAGACCTCCATGCTGGAGGATATAGTCTACTTAATTTTGGTCAAATTAAACAGAGGAGTTCATTAGATCTGTCGGACTCATCTCATCAGACATGATGGAATAACAACACTCTTTTTTCTAGGAGACTAATATTTTCTGTATAATTTGTTAGAATTGCGCATGTGGGTAATATCAAACTCAGGTTTCTTTTTGTGTTATATTTGCTTATTATGATGGGACTTTTAGGTGCTTAGGGTGGTGTCAGATGAAGTATTTTTACATTACAGCAGTGTTCACTGAAAATAGCAATATCATTGACCTTTTTTCTACATTTATTTTTTCATCCAAACTGACACTAACCTCTTTACATTTTTTTTCTGGTACTGTTTCACTACTCATTTTCTTCATAAAATCATAATATTTCATAATATTTCCGGAATTAAGAAGGTTTTTCTAGTGGTTTGGAAGTCTGGTATTTTTCATTTCTCTTTCTTTGTTGGCAAATAGCAGTTCATGTGTATAAATGTAACCCTGCTATCTTTTTTGCAACAATTATGAGCAGGGTGGGGACATTGCTATATGTACGTTGTGTTGTACTGGAATAAATGTTATAGTTCTGACATTGTTGTGACAAGAGGAGGGATTCCCAGTTGGAATTCCTTCCTTTTCCCTTAGGGTTGAGGCTTTCTGCTTCCAATGTTGATTGGGGTGGTAATGAAAGGTTCGTGGTTGTTAGCAAGCAAGGCTATGAACTACATTACTGTCTTTGTTATTCTGCTCCTGCACTTTGTTTGGCAACATCTATGTATATTTTATGCATTCTTCAATTCATTACATCATTTATTGAAGCTGATATAGATGTAGATTTATGCTACTCACTTTGGCCTATATTCTCCTACCAGATAAAAAGCCTTTTTCTATGTCTACTTTTCCAGAAAAAAATATTTTTTACTCATTCCTGGTGGTCTTGCTAAAGGATGATTTCCATTTTGGTTTTTCACAGGATCAAGATCAGATCTGGTTTGCTGGCTTCAGTGCAACTAAAAAGATGCCTCTTTATATATGGTTTCAAGGGGAGGATGTAGGCATGGGATGTACGGGACTAATTATAATCAATTTGAGCCTTTTTTGTACTCCATTACAGGGCATGAAAGCTATGTAGCAAACAGAGAAAAGTTGTCTGGTTTTGGAATTTGGAAGTACCCATTTTTTCTAATGTTAGAATAGTTTTGATATCACAATGAGTTATTAAT